TTTTTCTGAAATATATACATGCATGTGTGTATTTATATATACATAATAAATGTACACACACATACTTTAAGTAAACAAAACGTTTTATTTTGGATCATGCAATTAATCGTTTGACAGCACTACTTAAAATTGACTGCTGTGATCAAAGCTGTATTTTCAGCATCATTACTCCAGTCTTCAGTGTCACGAAATCATTCTAATATGCCAATTTGTTGCTCAAGAAACATTTCTGATTATTATCAATGTTGAAAACAGTTGTGTTGCCCAATATTTTCGTGGAAACTGTGATACATTTTATTTTTCAGGATTCACAGATGAATAGGAAGTTCGAAAGGACAGCATTTATTTGAAATGGAAAAGTGTCACGAAATCATTCTAATATGCCAATTTGTTGCTCAAGAAACATTTCTGATTATTATCAATGTTGAAAACAGTTGTGTTGCCCAATATTTTCGTGGAAACTGTGATACATTTTATTTTTCAGGATTCACAGATGAATAGGAAGTTCGAAAGGACAGCATTTATTTGAAATGGAAATCTAACTGTAATATTACAAATGTCTTTACTGGCACATTTGATCAATTTAGTGCATCCTTGCTGAATAAAAGTTTTATTGGCTATAAAATATTATTGTACTGACCCCAAATTTGAATGCCAGTTTATGTGCAAATTATTAGTTGAACTGACTTATTAACTATATTCAGATTACATACAGTGATTGTGAACTTTAACTACAGCAGCAGCACTTATCCCTGAACCCCCATTATGTATGCATTTGCAATGCAAAAGGTCAATTAAAACGCTGAATGTATTCAATTAAATCCTGAAATAATGCATGTGTTGAAGAAAAACACATACTAGACAAGTTTCCCCATTTTCAGAGATTTTCAAGATCGAATTCCAGTAAAAGTAAAATGTTTTTTTTAATCACAGCATTTGAGAAAGGCTACTTCAGAAAGAGACAGACCTGTTAAATGTGTTTTACTTGCCTGTTTGATGAAGGACACAGAAATCAGATCCCAGGACACGATGCCATGATCCATGAGCTCCAGAAACGCTGTGAGAGTGAAGGCCAACATCTCTCCAAAACTGCAGACATAAAAGACAAATCACTCTACAGCAGCATCCCAACACACGTGTCTGAAACACACAGACTGCAACAGATTCCCGCGCTGCCAAAACAGGGTTTGCAACATATGCCACGGGTCCCAAATTTATACTTTTTACATCTCCTCTATAAGACAAGCACAATTTTAAACAATAAAGAAAGAGGATTTATTATTTTCCATTTCACTTACATTATATTTGTAAACAAGTAATGAGTTTTTCAGCTCGGAAATTCAGCTTTGATTCACAGGAATAAAAGACATTTTACAATAAATTCACATAGAAGACACTTATTTTAAATTCAATATAAATGCAGCTTTGTTGAGCAGAAGAGACTTCTTTCAAAAAACACTCTTAGTGCCCACAAAATTGTGAACGGTAGTTAACGTACATATTTATTCATCAGAAGGCAAGTGCTGTAGTATTTTTGGGATTGGCCTGTTACATATGAGCTGAGCCTCAATCAAGCCAAATATGGACAGTCGCAAACCCCTCACAACCCAACCGTGTGTACGTAGGACTCGTACTGTGTGCCGCTCTCCACCAGCCGTGCCAGCGTCGCCAGGCCTTCCATGTTAATGAACTCTGTGGCGAACGTGGGGTCAGCAGAGAGTTTGGCCAGCTCTTTCAGAGCCTCCAGACGCGCGTCAATCCCATGAGACTGGATGCGCTCCAGCAGCTGTCGAGCCGCTCGCATCTAACACCACAAAACACCACACACCAGTTAGGCCTACAGCGAGTCTACACTGCTGCTCTTCGTCTCAATCCAGCAGATTGCACGCAGACTTACAGGAGAGATGGCCAGTCTGAGGATGGTGCCGTTTTTAATATCACCGCGGCTCTGAAACACACAGACACATGGAGATCAATCAAACAACTGCAACACCTCACTATATGTCTGTATACAGTAGATCTGGCTTCATGAACACAGTCGAAAAACCTTCCCGTTATATTATTTATATGATATGAAATACATATATATATTTGAGAACGCATGTAATGTTTTTATTGTTGTAGTTTTATTGTATTAATTATTTAGTTACCAATGTGAAAATAAACAATGATCAAAAGTCAGTTCTGCATAGCAGACACTAAAGCATAATCATAATCTGTGCTGGTTATTAAAGACGAGTATCAGTGGAGCTCCGCTGCATGAGGATCTCTGTGAGAGAGAGTCTGACCTGTTCAGTGATGTAGAGCTGTGGCCCGTCAGCGTAACGCAGGGCGAACTGCTCTGAACTCGACAGAGACCATCTACAACACACAATTTCTAATGATGAGATATAATAATCGCTTCAGTATTGGCTTCAACCCTTGAAGGAAAATCAACTCTAAAGATGTGAAAAGTCTTAAACAGCACATTATAGGACAGAGTTAGAAGATTTATTTAAACACACATTCAACCATTAAGAAATTAGTCATGTTAAGTATATTTATTGTTTAAATTGACATTCAAAAGCTGGGATTTAGTTTTATATAAACAATCATTAGAAAACAATGTGCTTGATGATTTTGCATAAACAGCACAACAGTGTTTGGAAGATCATTGGAAGCCACAGAATGAAAAAAAAATAAGAAAGCTACTTTGTGATGTTTTATCTCAAAATGTTGACTCTTTTTGTTTGCCTTTTCTCAGAATTATGCATTTTTCTCTTGGAATATTTTGAGTGCCATTTTATATACCAATATTGGTTTATATCACAACGTAGATGTTTTTTTTCTCTCTCTCTCTCTCTGAAAAATGGTGAACTAAAATAGTAACATCTAAATTAACTGGCTTTATTGGGTCAATGTTTTTTTAGTATCACTGATATTATTTATAAATCAATTAATTATTTAGAAACTTAACTATAAACTCAGAATTGTGAGATGAAATGTCAATAAATTCAAAGAAAAAAAGTCTGTTTATATCTCGCAATTCTGAGATATACAGTGGGGCAAAAAAGTATTTAGTCAGCCACCAATTGTGCAAGTTCTCCCACTTAAAAAGATGAGAGAGGCCTGTAATTTTCATCATAGGTATACCTCAACTATGAGAGACAAAATGAGAAAAAAAAATCCAGAAAATCACATTGTAGGATTGTTAAAGAATTAATTGGTAAATTCCTCGGGAAAATAAGTATTTGGTCACCTACAAACAAATATCTCTGATATAAAAAATAGAAAGGTGCTTTACGATGAACAGGACGTGTGTCACACAAGTCCATTTGTCATCGAATGCCATTTCAGTTCTTATATTAGTTTGACTGTTTCTGAAAGCGTTTTTACACTGATTCATTCATTTGATATGAATCATCTGATCCGATCAAAATAATCATTTGAGATTAAGCATCATTCATTTACCGCATTATAAACATATTCATTACAACATGCTTACTAAAATATAAACCACACCTTAAAATGTGATAACCTGCCAAACGTTAACTTAAAGAGCTATTTCTAGCTGATTGAACCCCAATCAACCCCAGTTGATATAATATAAACCATTACTGGGACAGCAATAATCTCATGAGTTTGCAAATCTAGTCACTGAGTGATGTCACAGAAGTGCACAATGAGTGAAATAACACTAGAGTTATTATAAAGAGAGCGAGTGAGTTCATCTGTCTTGGCTTCAGGTTGTTCAGATGGATGCCAGGGTGAATTCAGTGTTTAGAGACAGACTTACCCATCACACACTTCCCTAATGATGGACGCCAGCGGCTTCTTCTGCAACACACACACACACACACACACATTACACACTCTGTCTTGTGAATCTCCAACAGCACATGGTTTCTCCTCAAATACTACAGCAATCACAGTTACTATTTTTACCTATAAACTCCCACAAATGTGACCCTGGACCACAAAAAAGGGTAAATAAGGGTCATAAGGGTACATTTTTTGAAATTGAGATGTATACATCATCTGAAAGCTGAATAAATAAGCTTTCCATTGATGTATGGTTAGGATCGGACAATATTTGGCTGAGATACAATTATTTGAAAATCGGGAATCTGAGGGGGCAAAAAAAAAAAATCTAAATATTGAGAAAATCATCTTTAAAGTTGTCCAAATGAAGCTCTTAGCAATGCATATTACTAATCAAAAATGAAGTTTTGATATATTTACGGTAGGAAATGTACTAAATATCTTCATGGAACATGATCTTTACTTAATATCCTAATGATTTTTTGGCATAAAAGAAAAATCAATCATTTTGACCCATACAATGTATTGTTGGCTATTGCTACAAATATCCCCCAGCGACTTAACACTGCTTTTGTGCTCCAGGGTCACAAATAAATGTCCTTCAAACAGGTTTCGCTATCTCTCAGTCATTATATCAGTATCTGCGTGACCAGCAGTATATCGATGTAAAATATCACCATGACACATTTTCGTAAGTGTGTGCAGTGAGAGGAGAAACAATCTCAGCAGGTTCAAACAAAAGCACCAGTTCAACAGCACATGTGTACTAGTAACACTGGTGCATGAGCAGTAAACAGTACCTGGTCAAATTCAATGAGTTGAGCATTTGCACCGGGCCACTCGATGGCCACCTTCACGATGTCTGATGGAGGCGGCATGGCAGGCATCGGCCCTGAAGGCGAAAAAACAAGCCATCAGACACAAGAGTCACTGCGCTGCTGCTTTCTAGTGGCTGTGCCGCTCTCTGCTCTCCCATTGGTAGTCAATGCATCACTTCCCTGCTTATTTGCATATCTGTCACTGCTCACAGAAACTGAATGATGTCCGGTGGCTGTGTGGCTGTGAATCGCTGTCAGTGTGAACGGCGCTCGCATCAGTATGCCACACACTGGCTCCAGAAGTCAATGACTGACATGCTTTCTTACAGAAATGCAAACAGATTTCCAGTTACAGCAACTCACTTTTGAGTCTTTATCTATCTTTATTTAAACACTTTTTGTCATGAGCTGACAAGATTCCATTTCATTTTTAATGCAGGTGTGAAAAGTCTGGAGTGACCCAAAAAAAAAAAAAAAAAAATAGGATTATAATTACAGAAAGACAGAGCAATTGTATTTCAGCTCAAGATGGTTCTTAAATATGTTGATTTGATGTTTTAACCAACAGAAAAACATTGCTTTTAACTGCCAAGGAAAATATGCATATCAGTTTGCATATGGTTTATGAATCTCTTAAGCCAGACTCTGGTAAAATAATAATAATGTAGGGTTTCTCAGACAGCAGTGTTTTGACAGTGACTGTCAATAAAGCATTGAATGACAGTAAAAAACAAACGCAATTGCTGATAGTTTATTGACTCAGCTGAGTATTTTTCTTTCTGCAAAGGAATTTTAGGAGAAGCATTTGAGGTAAACTGATAGCAGTGAAACATGATTGAAAATTGCACCCGGTCTACTTTACATGTTCTTCATCATTTCATGCACAGGTAACTTGCTATTTAAACTCTTGACTCATCAATTGAGTTGTATTTCCAAACAGACAGGATTCTGAGTTCTGTCATAGATGTAACGCCTAACCTGACTAGCACAGTGTGTGTGTCTTCTGACTGAGTTATTCTTGCAGATGTCAAGAGTTACCTGTAGCGCTGTATCTGATGAGCGCCGGGGTTTATGGTGTCATACAGTCATGTAACATTAGACGCGTTCAGTTCAAGTAACGATGAAAGATTGAACGTGGCGTTTAAACGACACACAATGACACTGGCACACATGAACGTTACTTACCGTGTTCAGATCGGATAATGGGCGTCGATACAATGCGAATTAAAATCGCACCACTCCTTTTGGTCGCGATTACACGCGTTTAACTCCGCAATCATCGCATAAATGCGTCGATCACAAAACGTCAAACTGAGAAATCCGCACAGAATCGACTGCTGAAATGCACGCAAGTGGCGCACATATTATTGAGAGTGTTTATCGCGATTATGGTGCGATGTGTCGTTTGCATCCGCGCGATGTTCTTACCCCAAACCGAGCGATGAAACAGCGATGTTGTGCTCGAGCTGCGGTTCAGATGGAGGCTGATGGGCGGAGTTTACGCCGTCACATCTTCCTCTTCATCGCCAGCACCACCACACTCTTCTTCATTCTGATGCGCACAATCATCTGTTATGAAGCTGATCTTTGTAATCAAGTACAAAGAATCAGAGATGCTTTAAACTGTAAGCGAATGATTCAGCCCTCCGTCTGATCCCGCCCACACCTCACACCAGCCAATCAGCACTCGAGCTGCGGTGATCGACGCGCTCAAGCCCCGCCCAATGATTCACTGCAGCATCAGCATCAGCAGCAGCAGCATCACTCCAGGACTAGATCTAGTTAACGACTACATGACTGGTTAACTCGAGACAGGTGGGTAGAGTAGCTGTAAAAGTACTGGAAGTATCAGCACTAATGTTAATAGCGACTCAAAAACACCATAAACTACTGCTGAGATTAAAACATATGGCATATGAAGAATGAATGAGTGTAGTGTATCTTCCGTTAAATATAAAAACACAAACGTTTACTTACACAGAATTAAGTATCAGCTATCATGTTAAAGATGAAAGTAATTCAATCACTGTCCCAGTTAAAAAAAAAACAGCATATGCTGGTTAGGTATGTTTTGACGCTGGGATGCTGGTTTATGCAGGTCCTTTTGCTGGTTTATGCTGGTCATGTGCTGGCAAAGGACGAGCATAAACCAGCAAAGGACCAGCATAAACCAGCAAAGGACGAGCATAAACCAGCAAAGGACCAGCATAAACCAGCAAAGGACGAGCATAAACCAGCAAAGAACCAGTTTAAACCAGCAAAGGACCAGCATAAACCAGCAAAGGACCAGTTTAAACCAGCAAAGGACCATACCAGCAAAGGACCAGCATAAACCAGCAAAGGACGAGCATAAACCAGCAAAGGACCAGCATAAACCAGCAAAGGACCAGCATAAACCAGCAAAGGACCAAAAGGACCAGCATAAACCAGCAAAGGACCATCTTAAACCAGCAAAGGACCAGTTTAAACCAGCAAAGGACCATCATAAACCAGCAAAGGACCATCATAAACCAGCAAAGGACCAGCTTAAACCAGCATTCCAGCATCAAAACATACCTAACCAGCATATGCTGGTTTTTTCAACAGGGGTATAAAGTGTTTCATCAAGTGTTTAATAATGCAGATGGCCAGTCTATCAGTGAAAGAATCAGTTATAAACCACAGCAGAGGAGACACATCATTAACACACATCAGCTCTCTCTTATAGGAGGTAAAATGGCATTTTGGGGTGCATGTGTGAGGAGTCATGTTTCAATCAAACTTTAACTTATACGTTTAACTTAATACGTAGTAATCGTCATGCACAGATACATACATAAAGTTTGGTTCGGTGGGTTTGTAGGATGACATCATGACAGTTCAGCAGTTTTCTGAGCGTAGACCAGCTTAAAAACATATTTAATGTTCTCTTATGTCCCCTCTAGATCTTCATTGTTTTTATAGCCTTTTGTCCTGCAAGTGGTTGTTATGGATACAGCTTCAGCATTTCTCTGCTGTCATGGAAACCAATGAATATAGCATCTATGTTTGGCCATATAAGCCCTGTGCTGGACTCGGCATCCATTTACTCCAGCATCCTCACGGCCCCACAGAGGAGAATGCATTCTGATTATAACATTTCTGTGCATGATTTCTCTGGGAGTTGAACACATGACCTTGGAATTGCAAGCAGCACACACTCTTAAAACACCGAACATCAGAATTTCAGCTGTGCGTTAAGATAACGTCTTACAAAACTTCAGTGTCTCTGAATTGTTATGAACATTACATTCATTCAAAATTGTTGAATATATTTCTGGACATATGTTAATGCAGGGTTTCCCAAACTGGGGTTTGCAAGCTAGCAAAACAATAAAAACAATCCAAATAAAATACTAACTAAAAATAAATATTTTATTTGTTCACCTGCATGTCATGTTAGCATTAATCAACATCAGAAAACTGTGAACATGCAAATATGTTGTTCAACAAGTTAAATGATTGAAATACTAGCTTAAAATTTAAGGGAACTTCAAGTTAATATTTTAGATAAAAGAGGTTCGGCTGCCAAAAAAGTTTGGGAAAAACAGTTAATAATCTTAAGAGTAATAGTTAATTCCAAAATGTGATCATTCTATCATCATTTATTCAGCGTCACATCATTCCAAACCTGTGACTTTCTTCAGTGGGACACAAAAAGTGGAAAAGCTGTGAAGGTCTCGGCAGTTCGGGGAGAGGTTAGCAGCTCATTCTACCAGAGGGGAGCGGAGACGGTGAAGGTTTTGGAAACACAGTGAAGGAACAAGGCGTCACTCGTTCAGTGACATTAGTTGGCTCATATACTTGTAGGAATGTATTGAGGTGGTGTTCTTCCAGCGGAAGTCCTGCAAGTCAGCATCAAAACCTAAAATCTGAAGCCAGTGGAGTGAGTTTAGAGTTTAGTCCATGTTGGCTAATTGAGGACCAGACATGTTTCCACACTCTGGATCATCTGCAGAGGTTCAATTTGTATTCACGGCATGTCATATTTACAGTAATTTCAAGATAATGTGACGCTCGACACGGAGCTGTCCGTTTCTATGGCAACACTATCATCACCAAAGGCTTGCAGAACTCGTAACTTTAAAGTTGGGAATGTTCTGAGAGTCACAACTTGGACCATGTGACCGCGGTACCACCTGACCACCCCAGATACATTTAGGTGCTAATTCAGAGTTTGAAAAGTTTAATTCAGGCACAATCTGAGGAGTAGAAAGTCACATTATCTCGAAATTACAGTAATTACAACATGGTATGAACACAGCTTTAGTAGTGCTAGTTGGCTAATACAGCATTTCAGTAGTCCAGTCTTGAAATGGACAAGGAGCTGAACTGCATATCCTGACAGGAATCCCATGTACCCTTATGATCATGCACCAGCGAGGCTGTTTAAGGAGAACAGGAGGGGACCAAACATTGATCCTTGAGGCACCCCATGTGACTCCGGCATCCCTCTTCTTCAGTAGATCTGCCTGTGAGCAGGACATCATGATAACAGCCAAAGCCTTTTTTTAAAAAAGTGTTTCAGTGAAGAGACTCCTGATTGCTTACTTTTCTCAAACCTTCACTCTACACTCACAGATGAATATCATGCAGTCACAGGACAGCCCAACCATCACATCACATCTGTCGTCCACACCATCTGAGATGAACCCAGCGTAACGACGGCATGTTTTCTTCCTGAGCTCTGATGCCATTAAACACGTGTTCAAAAACTGCACAGGAAACATCTTCAGATGGAAAGTCCAGCTGTCAATTCATGACCTTCTCATCAACATCAGGTTGAAGTTACATATGAGACCAAGTTCAGAAGTCAGGTGGTGTTTAAAGCTTTATTAACTATACTATTTAACTAACAGAATATAGTGTAGCTCACCCACGTTCCTCAGACACAGCAGGCATTGTTACAGTTCAAACATACATAGCAGAGATGTGTTAGTCAGGTACATCCATAAAGCAGTAGATGTCAATGAATTCATGAACACATGATGTGTGAATAACAGCAATATTCAATATCAAAGAGATTCGGGGCAAACTTGACAATACAGAAAACAACCACCTTATTACTGAGGTAAGGAGAAACATCCCGTTTAGCCGAAATCACAAATAAAAGAACAAAATAAATGAAAAACATGAATAAATAATGATGTTTGATGTCCAAGTCTTGAGTTTCACAGGAAATCTTTGAGATAATTTGTTCTTTCATGTAATCCAAGAGCTCATGAACAGCACATTTCACATCATGGACAACACGAGATAATATTACAGGAGGAAACAAACAAACTAAATACATAACATGATTATAAATGCCCAACACACACACAAAAAAAAAGAATATTAGTTGATTTCTATAAAAAGGCCATGAGGTGATGGATGATGAACTGAAGGATATTAACTAAAACGATGAAAAGCCCATGCGTCATGCTTCTACAGACGAACGTTTGGTTATGGTGATTACATCATGAACAGGAAGCCTGAACGATTTTGCTGATAAAAATGCATTTTTTTTTTTTTGAATAGGAATCTGTTTGACAGCTCATCATATATACACATATATAATGAACACATACATATAAAATAAAAAACCATGAACAAACAGGATTCTGTCATAACACAGGAAAGCCACTGCGATCTGAAGCTTTATGATCTACGGACCACAAACAGCAGATGACATGCAGATTTCTGCTGGTGTCAAATCCACTATAATATCAAACTTTATACTGTAATATTAAACATCTCCATCATGGACAGAGACATCAAAAAGATCTTTATCAACCTATTCTCAACAGAAACGAACAACGACAGGCGAAACGAGGGACACGTCCAGTCAGAGGTGTGTTTGTGATGCGTGTTGTACAGGACAGGCCAATGAAAGCAAACACACAAACCCTCTGCAGGTCTACCAGCCGCTGTTGTCCCAAGAGTCCTCGGTCGCTTTCGACGTGCTCTTCTTGTCCTTGTCATCTCCAGCTTTCTCCCAGTCGTTGTCCCAGGTGTCCCAGCTGTCTGCAGCACTATTCTTGTTGTTGGACTGGTCTTCTGAGCTCCTCTCTACAGAGTTGCCGCTGAGAGCCGAGTTACTACCAAAGGTTTCCCAGAAGTCGCGCTTAGGCCCCTGGTTCTGATATCCTTCTTCATAAGCAGAACTGAAATCAAACATGCAAAACAAACAACCGTGTCTTTTTTTTTTTTGGTGAATAGAAAGTTCAGAAGAACAGCATTTGCAAAGATTTTATTTTTTTCTTCACTAAAACTGTCTAGGTGACCTAGAGAAACCAGACTTGGTGGGATCAGCAGAAATCAGACACTAGGCGGCGCTATAATAAGGATATAATATAACTCTGCAATCGTAATCAAAATTATTTGTTTCCTCTGAATCCTAAGCCCTCAAACAACAAAATCTATATCTCAAATTTCCAGTTGCATTATAAAAACACATTATATATATAAAAAAATAAATAAACTAGGGCTGTCAAGTTTAACACGTTAACTTAATTAATTAGCTATGAAAAAAATAACGCGATTAAAATATTTTAGCGCATTTAATGCACTGGCCCCGCCTCCAGACCTGTATGTCATCTTACATTTCATATAGTTGTCTGCTGACAAATATGACTTAGGGCAACAACTCCCTATATGCCCTAAAATGAAAGATATTGGGGCAAAAATGTTCCTGTATGAGTTTTTGTCTCATATATTTATTATCACATCCGAATGCTGCTTATGTCCGAATACCACGAGTGCAAATGTGATTTTACAACAGTTCAGTAAACAAGAAGTTAATATTGTGTTATATTTTAAACACAATATTGTCTGTTTTTGCTCAATTTTGCAGACAAAAATATTACCTATAAAGCCACAGGCTTTAATATGACTATGTTTATATATAAAGTAACGATGAGGCAATAATAATTGGCCTCAAATAAAGTATCAAAACCAAGTAAATGGTTTTATTGAACAAGACTGTTAAATACATAATGCAATATGCCTATATTATAACAAATACCTGCAGAAGGTGTCAACGGCCTGGTGATGTTTCATGTATTTCAACGACGTTTAAATCTATTTAATTTTAATATTTGGCCACATGCGAAGTCAGAAACTTTTAGTTTGAAATCGCGATGTACAATACATCGCATATTTAGAAATATGTTGATGCATTCTCCTGTGTTGGCATAGGTTTAAATTATTTACGTTACAAATCAAGTGAGTTTTCCCAGATGAACGTTAAGCAACCCAAGAGTTTAGCCCCTTTCACACATACAGTCTTCACTGGTAAATTAACGTTAAGAGATCATGTGTGAACAGGACCTTTTCAAAAATACAGGTAAATGCATTCTGGCAATCATATCGTTCTTATGGAGATGACATGATTACTCTGAGCTGTTTACAAAGCTCCGCTGCTTTTTTAATAGCTTTTCTATGTAAATATGACGCTAGATGGAAATCTTTTACCACTGCGCCTCGCAGCTTTTTCAACGTGTCGCGCTCGAGACCAAGGCTTCTTTTCTATTCATCAGCTGCGACTCTGCAATTGGATACTATTATACGCGTCTCCTGTTTATAAGTGCAAAGACTTCTGATTGGCTAGTAATGTTAGTTTGGCTGAGAGTGAAAGCTGTGTTCCTCTCATACATTGGTAGGCGAACCAATGAACTCGAACGTAATATCAACAAGTGTTTTTAAATGTAGGATGATTATCTTTTTTTTCCCGCAGCCAAATGCCGCACGCCGCAGATCCGGCACGGTGCCGGAGAACTTTAAGCCCTGTGTATTGTACTTTTCCCCATAAATGTATGTTCAAAAATCATGAAGTAATAATAACGTAATAAATCTGTAATTACCCATCATCAGCGGCCTCTTGTTTCCCACCGAAGAAAGACGTCATGTCCTTCCAGCCTTTAGCGCCTGCACCCTGAACCTGCACAAACACACAGCGCCTCAACACCACTGACCCCCAACAATTCAACCACAAAAAACCAGCTGAACATGATTTAAGACCCCTTCACCCCGCCTCATAATCAAACGCACAGGAAGATATAATGACACAGTAAATACAAGTGACTTTATGGATTTAATCTCACTTTAGTTCCCAGTGTTGGTGCTGCTGACCTTGACTCACTTCAGTTCAACATAAAGAGCGTGTGTCATTAGTTTATGACTGAAATGAGAGTCTGGAGCAGCAGTGGATGTGCGCGTTTTTGTGACAAATGAGGACATAAATTTGTATAATGATAAAGGTATGACATAGGTATTACAAGGAGAAGGTGACTTTTCAGGACATTACCCCATGTCCCCACTTTTCAAAACGCTTATAAATCACACAGAATGGAGTGTATTGAAAATCTGAAATAGCAGAAAGTCTCCTGTGAGGGGTAGGTTTAGGGGTAGGGTTGGTGTAGGGCAATAGAATATACGGTCTGTACAGTATAAAAACCATTACGCCTATGGGATGTCCCCACTTTTCACAAAAACAAACCTGTGTGTTTACATGTGTGACCCATGCTGGCAAAATTAGTTGGAATGTGTCTAATTTTGAGCTACAGGCAAAAGAAGTGATAAAGGTGGAATTTGAGGTTTTCACAAAACGGAGTTCATTAAGCCCTCTTCTAGCAAGCCCAAAGCTCCAAATAGTAATTAAACACCTAAAATGATCTTTATTTGTACATTTTCTGAGGAGTGCCTTTTTCTCTGCTCACTGCTGCTGCTTCTCACCACAAGTGGTAGGACTATTGTTGCAAAGCGCAGCACTCCAGCTTTGTGAATATTCATATTGATTTCTCGATGAGATGAGTACAAACCAGTGAAATATGATTTTCAAACCCATGCTGATGAAAACAAAACGATCACACCGACTGACATTTGCAAAGCGCGTGCGACCTCCCTATAAAGTACTTTATTGCGAAATATGTCTTGGCGAGATTCACACAAACATAATCTGTTATGTCTTACATGAACGTTTAATTAATGGTTGGGGGAAAATCTGATGTGTTACATTATATTAGATTCATCCATTACAGTAGGTCTTAATTTAGATCTGTCTCAATGTTAATCAGCCATTAAAAGAAAAGACAATCACTCACTGCTCTTGGTTAAACTACGGTTTATTTGCATCTTTGTTCTGCTGCTTTGCTTCGGAATCTTCAGAAAAATTGAACTTGATTTTTCTCAAAATCAATCCTGCGGACTTTATCGCCTTCAAATGGCTGTAGCTCAGTCATTTTTTGTCCGATTCCAACAAGTCACATATCATTGAAGGTATTTTAATGGAGAATAAATCGAAATAGTTTTTGAAAATGCATGGGTCACATTTGCATTTCGTTCAGCTCATTCATTCTCTGTGTGAACAGACCAATGTATTAATTTATTGTTAATTTTTTTGCTTTGGTGTGAAAGGGCCTTCAAGTTATTTTGTTAAAAAGCAGTGATGTATTACTGTAAACATGACATGATTTTATTTTTTAAAGACCCCATGAACCGGTTTGCGTTTTAGGTTCTTTTAACCGTTTTTTTTTTTTAAGTTCTCATCTTTCCTATTAAACAGTAAGTTTGGGCAGAACATAACTGGGCGGCTCATTCTTCAGAGCATGAGACAAAAAAAACTAATTAGAGTCAACAATATTTCAGTCTGTTATTCCAGAAGAGAGATACTGTACGTATGAAAAGTGTTTATCTGCTAGGACTAGGAGCACAGAGAGCTGTAATCTGGATTGTTTGTTTGTGTTTAATGCCATTCCAGCTTCTATGGCTATTTTCATGCCGATAAATATGATAATTTATTTTTGCTAAAAACGCCAAAGTAATCTGGATTGTCATGGGGTCCTTAATACAAGCATCCATGGGTACTGACTGATTTCCACAGAGTCTTCTCATGATTACATAAGCTCTTTTATGTCTAGATCATCGTACTCACCACCGCAATCACAATGGCAGCAGAAAAAGAGAAAGAAAAGTGAGTTGAGACACAGAAAGAGCACAAGGGTTTCTCTCTGCTCACGATCAGCTGACGTGCGTCACTGCATCACATCAGATGATCGCGAGCAGCCGGCAGCCTCGTACCTTTGTGGCCAGACCTGTGATGCTGACGGCCATTTCATCAAACAACTTTCCATCCTTCACCTACATGAGTCAGAGCAGTGTTAGAGAGCATCAGACTGAAACACGCTTCTATGTCGTCTAACATTTGCACTGATCAGCAACAGAAGAACTAGCTTCATGATGGCATCTGTAGAGAGTTCATTCAGTGAGATCCACTGCTGATGCTGAACCTCACACAGAAACATTTCACCACAAAAAAATCTGATAAACATACGGTTTATGTGTAAGGCTACAATTTTTGACAGTTTATGCAAAATATCACTCTGGCGTAACAGAATGAGACTGAGGTCAGACTAATACTCCTGATTATAGTACTTGGTAGTGTATTTGGATGCAAAGCTCACAGTGAGCAGTCACTGGCACATCTTACCCTCACAGCAAGCATTTTGAGAAAAATGCTTTTTTAGGAATTTATAACTTTAATCTTAAAACTAAATTATTTATACAGAGGCAACTCACCACATGTATGATATACTCTACCATCCAAAAGTTTGCCGTCAGTAAGATTCATTTTAAAGGGGTCCTATTATGCCTTTTCACTTTTTAAATTTTAGTCAGTGTGTAGTGAGTATGTTTGGGCATAAAAAAGATCTGGAAAGTTACAAATCTCAAAGTCCACTCCAAAGGGAGATATTTAGTTTTTAAAAATCCCTTTTCAAGAACTACAGCAAACGGCTCGTTTGGACTACAGCGTTTGTTTTCCTGGCTTTGTGATATCACAAAGCGGTTCATTAGAATATCATTACAAATACTTCCCGCCTACAGAAATGTGAATGGTTGGGGGGTGGGGAGGGGCGAGGTTGAGTGAGTGCATCAGATGAGACGACGACGAAGAAGTGCTGCTGCAGTGTTAGTGCATCAGAGAAATCCAAGAAGAAGAGCTGCTGTGCTGTAGCATCAAATTTTCGGCATATCTAGAACAATTCTTACAAGTACAACACGACGTAGCTGGGTGCCGCGGACAGACGCCGAACGGCGCCGCCGGTGTGCCTACACTCACAGAAAATAATGTATTTCAATTTTAAAGACGTGGTGCGACGCGACGCTGCGCTTCCAAAACAAAATCAAGACTTTGTAAAAGAGCATAATAGGACCCCTTTAAAAGCAATTCAGTAAGACTGCATTCAATTGATCAAAAATTACAGTGAAGACATTTATAATGTTACAAAACGATTTATATTTCAAGTAAATGCTGTTTTTTTTAAACATTATATTAATCAAAGAAACCATATAACAAATGTGTGGGCAGCACAACTGTTTTCAACATTGATAATAATCAGAAATGTTTCTTGAGCAGCAGATCAGCATATTATACTGATTTCTGAAGATCATGTGACACTGAAGACTGGAGTAATGATGCTGAAAACACAGCTTTGATCACAGGAATACATGACATTTTAACAGATATTCACACATTTAAAACCATTTATCTGAATTATCTGTTTTTCATCAACTAAATGCAGCCTTGGTGAAAATAGACTTCTTTCAAAAACATTTATAAAAATCTTACCTGCCCTAAACTTCTGAACGTTGGCATGAATATTTTTAAACCTGGATACATTTACTTACTTTACTACAAAATGAGTTTTATCCAAATGTAGAAAATGTACTTTGGCATGATGAAAATCTTTCTGCGTCTCTCATTTACTGGCAGCGCTGTGAGAAACACACTCACTCCTAACTAGACTAGTTACATACTAGTAACAAACATGCTGGTTACCTTCTCCTGTGTGGGCCTGAGAACACTGTCATTTAACGTCTGTCCCAATTCAGAAGCCTGAGAGAGAAACACACGGGTGAACACACACTCTCACAAAACGGTGTATTTCACATGGTGTATAAAACATGAGTCACATCACATGCATGACAGACCATCAACACTGTATGAGGAGGCATGATCGGTCACATGACCTTCAAATGGACTGCAATCGGGAGTTTTTATTAGCTGCAGTGAATGGCGGGAATCAAGTGAAGTTATGATATGCATACTGAAAACGAGCAGCATCTGCACACTGAACGCCTGTCACATGTCGAGCATCTGACTCAGTGTTCTCACACACACAGAAACACACATGCGTGCAGCATGCGGTGAGCGTTACCGGCTCAGGTGGTGGTTTATAGCCCCGCAACTTCATCCACAGCAGCGGCGGCACAGACAGAATAAAGCAGCGTATATAAACGACAGACGGCAGAGGTCTTACTGCTGGACTTCAGGGAATAGTTCAGCCAAAAATGAAAACTTGCTGAAAATGTGCTTCCCCTCGGGCATCCAAGATCAGGATGGGTTTGTTTCTTCAACAGGTTTGGAGAAATGTGTCACTGCATCACTGTCTCAGCAATGGATGCTCTGCAGTGAATGGGTGCCGTCAGAAGTCCAAACAGCTGATAAAAACATCACAATAATCCACACCACTCCAGTCCATCAGTTAACATCTGAAGACAAAAGCTGAAATAAATCCATCATTAAGACGTTTTAACTTCAAACCATGACCTCTGGCTAAAATGAGTCCATAACCCATCATAACACTTCCTCCAATGAAATGTTTATATCAGTTGTCATTCTGACGGCACCCATTTACTGCAGAGGATCCATTGCTGAGCAAGTGATGGAATACTGAATTTCTCCAAATCTGATGTGAAGAAACAAATACATCTTAATCTTGGATGACCTGAGGGTGAGCACATTTTCATTTTTGAGTGAACTATACTTTTAACATGGTCTTCTGTGACCAGCGTTCCTCACATCACATAATCACCACTTTTCATTTAGATTATGATGGTTTAGTTCAGTATTTTCTAGAGGTGCAGCCCATGTGTTTGTTGTATATCAGCCCATGTGTGCCTGCATTCACACAGACTAGTTCTTCAGCATCTCACAACTAGTGTGTGTGTGTGCGCGTTTATTTTAATACGATTCAATAATCAATATCAGTTTGTTAAAGTGAAGATGGATCAAATAGCAGACCTGCCAACCTTGGAAAAATTTCTTGAGTACCATCAGTGTGACGGGATGGGGGGGTCATATATTCCTAGACAGCTACATTACATATTACCTGAAGCTCGTTGATGGCTAATGTCAAAATTGTAATTGCATAATGTGCACAATATAAGCTTTAAATGTTAAACATTTTCCAAAGGTTAGAATTCAGGGTCTGCAGTCAGTCACACACACCTTTGTGCTATTCCTGTTATACAGTATTTTAGAGTAAAGGATGCATCAACACAGTTAGTTGTATTGTAGTACAAGTTAGTATACAGTTAGTATATACAGTTATATATATATATATACTTTTTTTTGCGATTTAAAATGCTATTTAAAAAAAAAAAAAAAAAAAAACTCCTTGCATGAATCAATCAGATGGCGGGAGTGGAAAGGGGATCGAGCTGGATTTTCTGTTGTTGTTGATTTGTTACATATTACCTGAAGCTCATTGATGGCTAATGTCAAAATTGTAATTGCATAATGTGCACAATATAAGCTTTAAATGTTAAACATTTTCCAAAGGTTAGAATTCAGGGTCTGCAGTCAGTCACACACACCTTTGTGCTATTCCTGTTATACAATATTTTAGAGTAAAGGATGCATCAACACAGTTAGTTGTATTGTAGTACAAGTTAGTATACAGTTAGTATATACAGTTATATATATACTTTTTTTTTTGCGATTTAAAATGCTATTTAAAAAAAAAAAAAAAAAACTCCAGTACATATGTCTACTTTAAATTTATTTTCAGAGAAGTATTATTTTTATGAATTGGCCATTATTTAGTGCTATAAACACATGTAATGTCTGTTTCATTCATACTGGAAGCACTCCTGCAGAAAATCCACATATGCATCACAGAAGCACTAGAACTGATGACGCTCCAGGAAAGCCCTTATATGGACAAAGGCACTGCTGTAGCTGAACAAAAAGAATATAGAAACGCTTAAACTGATCAAACATAGACAATAAACACTCGACTGCAACAACGTATAGTTTATCAGTGTTTTTTAAGCCATCTTCGGTATTTTCATAATAATATATTTATACTCCATTGCTAATCGCCATAGCCTTTATTACAGTAGAGATTATATATTTCTGCGTCATTCTGTGATAAGAAGCTACATTAAATCACAAAAGGAACGTATTACTAACATTCAACTGATGTTGTGGAGTATGTTATAATTTTAAATTTTTGTTGGACAACAGGTTTAGAAATGCTTTTCATTACAAGTCATCTCAAGGGAAGATGTTTGGCGTGTGTTGCTTTGTCAAAAGCTCATTATAGCCGGGAGGCGTTTTCTCATCTCAGCGCGCAGACTCACGGACACACACAAATAGAGCCGGTTTGGAGAGAAATGAAATGCATGGATATCATTTAAACGCAAAACTGAAAAAAACACTTTGATTGGTCGATCACTTCTTTTGCAGTTGCTTGATTTGAGTACCACGGGTGGACGGAGGCGTCACCAGGTTTTGACGTAGAGTGACAATCGTACCAGCGTAATTTGAGGTCAAAATGCGTATCCGCTAAGCAAAATGCATACAGGTCGGCAGGTCTGAAATAGGTCAATTGATATTTTAAGCCAGTCCTCATAGAAAACAGACTCGAGTGATCAGATTGGAGAGGTTCACATCACACTGATGAGACGTACCTTCAGAGTTGCTTGGCTGGCCAATTTTGTGGTCTGTTAAGGACAGAAGATGAAAAAGTGTCTTTATAATCACAATCCCATTAGTTATTATACATGAGCAGCTGACACACACAAAGTCACAAAAATCATTCATCACAACTAATCATTAAACAGTCATGCTGTGTAGTGAATACACAGGGTTTTTCCTGGCTCAAAATGAGGCAGAGGTGGTATCCTCCTGATCATGTGCACAGATTGTACCCACCCTTTTGTAACAAACACTTTTTACATGCAACATTTTAGGTGTTCTAATAATTACATAATTGAAGAAAATGATAATTATCAAGTTACATTTTACAAAAACAAACCTGATGAACATTAAATTAAATACAGCATAACAGCTAAAAGTTATGACCTCCTTGCACTTTATTTCACTTCTTTTGGACTATTGAGCAGAAACACCCACCCATTGCCATTCTAAAGCTTGGAAGAGCATGGACAATTTTTAATATAACTTCGATTGTATTCGTCTGAAAGAAAAAAGTCATATACACATAGGATGCCTTGAGGGTGAGTAAAGAATGGGCTAATTTTCCCTTTTGGCTGAACTAACCGTTTAAAAGAGAGATTTAAGACAAATTATAAATGAAAAGGTGTCATTTTATTATTGCTTGGACAAAATGCTGCACAATTCTTTGAGAAACTGAAATATGTCAAATAACAAAACTAAATTGAAAATTTATAACACAAATAGGAAAAAAAAAATCTTCATATAAACAGACTGAGGTTTTACCTGTGCTCTTTCAGTTGAAAATTAGAGGTAACACTGCATTTTAATCATGATTCAAACAAACATGCTGCATACATGATGTTAAAATTTTTGAAATTTGAAGCAATAACAGGATTGTTAGCACTGTAGTTTTGTGAAACTGTTCTACATAAAACTTCATATACAATCTGAATGAAACCAAAACAGCAGACAGGCTGAAAGAGAAGAAAATTTACTCTCTGCCACCAGGTGGCGCTTATGGAACAGCAGCGATACAGCGTTTTCTAGGTTACCGCTGTAAACAAAGCAGCACTCTGCGTATGAACACTACTTTAATTTTGCATTATACATAAATCCTTCCCCCAGTTGTATCGCAATTCGTTTAACATCTCAACCGATTTGAATTGTAACATTTTTATCGGTTTTCAACCTAGTAACAAAAGCCCGTCATCAGAATGAGAGTGCGGGTTATGATCGCACAATATAAGTGACATGAGCATCGAATGAGCATCCTCCGAGTCAGAACAGCGATCGCGAAAGAGAAAACATACTGAGACAGTGCTGGAAGCTACTAATGCTCATGACATTGCATAATTAAGTGGAAAATGAACAGAATGATGATTCTGTCTAAAGAAATGTAAAGTGAATATGTGTTAAGATATCAGTATTTCTTCAAATGTGCACTTTTGGACTAAAAGCCCTAATGGACGCTGTTCAGTGATGCTTGCACGTGATTGTCTGCCTGAGTTTTGCTACAACCAGAGGCGGCACAAAATTTGACAGAGACGGCCGCCTCATAATTCTCTATGCAGGAGAAACCTGTCAGTACTCCGTTTGACAGACACAACACACAGAGGAGCCACATTATTAACACCAACTTCGGTGTCTCACTGCTTCATAAAACATATTCAGGGCACAAATATTCCTGATCTAGCAACTCAGATCGGCTGCTGTCATCCTTCACTAGCAGGTTTAGTGGTGTGATGAAAATTAGGTGAACAGTTAATCTGTGTGTGTGTGCAGCAATGTACTTACACTGTCTTTAGCGACCGACGCAAACTTACTGGCTCCAACGGTGAAGCTGCTCCAGCCCTGAAACACACACGACACAGACAACGGTAACGATGAATGACGGACCGACCTTTGTTATATCAAAGCTGCTGCTGCTGCTGTTTTACCGAGTAGATGGAAGACATGGCGTTGTTCACGAAGTCTTCATCTTTCTTGGGCGGGTTGGGAGTGTTTCCAAATCCTACATATCGATTATCCTGCGCGCCGGACGCTCCGGCACTGAAACACCACAAAATCACAACAATATTCACACACATGAAATAATACAATCGTACAGACGCGTGATGTGGATACTTGCTGGGGTGAGGGACCATCCCCATCCCCATCTAGAGCTTTCTGTTTATTTGACTGTCAACATGGAAGACATAAGCTTTTGAGTCATGTGACTGCAATGAAGCTGCTCGATTATCGACAAAAAAAATACAAATAATAATTATCACAACCATTTTAGTCAATATTGAGATACGTACAAGTATATAAAAATTTATACAACAGTTCTTTCTGTTCCTCGAATCTGATTGGCTGATAAAGAGTTTGATATTAGCGTGATAACAGAGCTCCTCCAACCGCTTCACCATTTGGACCACTCCGCTTGCCGTATTTTTCACAGCGAGTGTCATGGCGGATGCCCAAATCCACTATAATTTAAGAATAATACTGTTTTTGTGTCACAGAATGTAGTTTTAAGAGATTTTAATGCAAGAATGTACTTGTTTGGACTTCAAACATGTGGTTTGTTATTGTTAATAAAGATAACCAGGGCTTGACATTAACTTTTTTGTTCACCGGCCACTGTGGCTAGTGGTTTTCCAAATTTACTAGCCACTCAGCATTTTCACAGGCCACAATTTTGCTATTGGGAAATTACGTTTTATATGACTTAATACCGCATACAAAAATGTATTTAAATTGATTTCCAGGTCATTTTTTTCATATTTAAAAGGGCATACCGTATTGCCTAACCGTATTAAATGCATGCATCATCTTTCATATCAACTTATTACATTTTATTAATAATTCACTTAATATAATAAGACAATATAGGGCTGTTACCAATCATATGAAATCAGTATCTACAAAACTGATCTTTCCACTGCAGAAGAAACAGAAGTGACTGGAGTGGCATTCAGATGCATTTACATCAATGTAACGGAAATATAGCACGAATGCATTTACACTGTAAAATTATAACAGCATAATGTAGTGAGCTTGGCGTTTTAAAATATATACACACACACACACACACACACACACACACATATACATATATATATATATACACAAATATGAAACGTTGGAAAAAATGCAAAGATAAGCTACTATGGAAGTAAACCGCCAGTAGGTGGCAGCATCTTAATTAATGAGTCATTGAAGCATGCCTTCAAACGATTCGTTCAGACGGCCAGAAGTGCCTGTCTTTATGAATGGACCACTGAATCATTGACTCAAATGATTCAAAATTCAAAAAGACGAATCATTCAGTAACGAAACACCGCTGTGTGTTGCTCAGACTTTTAAATTGAAAAATTCTAAACTGCAGTTTTGAACAAGGAAGTTATTTTTTCTTTCAAAAAGCTTGTACGCAGCCAACGAATGCACCGAGCTGATAACAGAGCTCCTCCAACCGCTTCACCATTTGGACCACTCCGCTTGCCGTATTTTTCACAGCGAGTGTCATGGCGGATGCCCAAATCCACTATAATTTAAGAATAATACTGTTTTTGTGTCACAGAATGTAGTTTTAAGAGATTTTAATGCAAGAATGTACTTGTTTGGACTTCAAACATGTGGTTTGTTATTGTTAATAAAGATAACCAGGGCTTGACATTAACTTTTTTGTTCACCGGCCACTGTGGCTAGTGGTTTTCCAAATTTACTAGCCACTCAGCATTTTCACAGGCCACAATTTTGCTATTGGGAAATTACGTTTTATATGACTTAATACCGCATACAAAAATGTATTTAAATTGATTTCCAGGTCATTTTTTTCATATTTAAAAGGGCATACCGTATTGCCTAACCGTATTAAATGCATGCATCATCTTTCATATCAACTTATTACATTTTATTAATAATTCACTTAATATAATAAGACAATATAGGGCTGTTACCAATCATATGAAATCAGTATCTACAAAACTGATCTTTCCACTGCAGAAGAAACAGAAGTGACTGGAGTGGCATTCAGATGCATTTACATCAATGTAACGGAAATATAGCACGAATGCATTTACACTGTAAAATTATAACAGCATAATGTAGTGAGCTTGGCGTTTTAAAATATATACACACACACACACACACACACACACACACATATACATATATATATATATACACAAATATGAAACGTTGGAAAAAATGCAAAGATAAGCTACTATGGAAGTAAACCGCCAGTAGGTGGCAGCATCTTAATTAATGAGTCATTGAAGCATGCCTTCAAACGATTCGTTCAGACGGCCAGAAGTGCCTGTCTTTATGAATGGACCACTGAATCATTGACTCAAATGATTCAAAATTCAAAAAGACGAATCATTCAGTAACGAAACACCGCTGTGTGTTGCTCAGACTTTTAAATTGAAAAATTCTAAACTGCAGTTTTGAACAAGGAAGTTATTTTTTCTTTCAAAAAGCTTGTACGCAGCCAACGAATGCACCGAGCTGTCATCAGGAATCACCCTTAACAGATGAAAGGATAGTACGAGCCTAAAGGACATACAAACTAATGATTTATTGTGAATATGAGATTGATCTGAAGAAGGACTGCTGGATCAGATGCAGGTAATCACGATCGATCTGTCAATCTCTCTCTCATAATACTCTACTATACATAATACATCGCTTTTAATACAGTAATACAATAAGCTTTTAATGCAGCAACTCAACGTTCCTTCGTTATTAGTTCTAAAGTGACGTTTTGGAATTAGTAACGGAGACTTGGGCTCAGCTGTTCAACTTTAGATTTGAATCCGTGGCGGAAGGAAGTAGTTCTGCACTAAAGAGGGTTTTTAAAGACACTCCGTTGTTATTTTTTTTTATGTATTTACACACTCGTGCTGTCGAACTGTTGTATAAATGCA